TCAAAGAACGTTTTCCAGCAAACATAATTTCAGATGTGGAGGACATTTCGAGAGACATATAAGACATTTTCTTGAACAGAAAAATGTAAGTTAATCCTCTTTGCATAGAAAACAAAGAATATACGTAGAAAAAAGAAAAGCACCCGGTTGCCTTTTACGGAGACATGCAAATGGATTTCTGAGGAATAAGGACAAGGGTCCTCTCTTTCGCAATATTATACGATTCTCAAAAAAAGAAAAACAAATTGTCTTCTATGATGGTGGGTATTCTCATGGAAGAAAAACTGAAGACGACCAGATTGTCTTTTACGAATGAATAGAAGATTGTCTTCGGTAAAGAAGGAGGTTTTTATAATGGAGTTTATAAAGGTTTATCCAATTTATCTATAAAAAAAAAACTAGTAAAATAGTATCAGTCCGTTTTGCCGACAGACGTATACCCCCAGCATTGAGTTATGAACGTGACAGATTTGGATTATATCAACTACTTCTTGTACTTTATATGAGATATGTACACATTTTCGGAAAATGGAAATATGCGACAGGTAACAGATATAGCGGACCGAAGTATTTCATTTTCATACTTCATCTAATACAGATAAAATATATTGGTATGTGCAAAATTTGAAGGAAATCGAACATTCGTATCCAATTTTATGCGAAATCATAAATTCCGACAAATTACATATTCATATCAGTATACTGGTTAAGAGAAATATTTAGATATTGCAAGTTGTAAAGAATCGCCGACTTGTTTCGCAAGTTATGACAGTTACAAGTTGGCAGATCTATATCATCTTCACAACAGATTTTGTTTTAGAAATAATGTTTGTATGTGAGAAATTTGAGGAGATGGGTGGATTCATTTGGATGTTTTTTTTTTTTCGAATTCCTTGAGCGTTTTGTTTTTAAAAATTTTGAACCCTATGTAGGGAGGTACCAGAAAAAATGGTGCGATCTTTACCATATTTTTAACAGATTTTGTGTTGATGAAAATATTGAAAAGCTCCAAGTCTGAATAGAATCAGATGTTAATTTTGCGTTTTATGAAATTTATGGATACTAAAATTTTGGGGGAGGTACCACAAGGTGGGGGAGGTACCACAAGGAGTGGACCGATATATCCCATCTTCACACCAGATCTTGAGTTAGTAGAAATAATGGGACGTGTGTAATATGAAGAGAACCGTATTTTTATTTCGGGTTCTTTGCTCGTTTTGATTATTCAAAACATAGGTACTATGTGTGGGAGGTACCAGAACGAATGGTCCGATCTCTACCATCTTTATAAAAGATCTTGCGTTTATGAAAATATTGAGATGTGCCAAGTCTGAATGGAATCGGATGTTTATTTTGTGTTTTAAGGGCTTAATGGATATTCCAAATTTCGATCTTTTGTGGGGGAGGTACTTGATGGAGTGGACCGATATTATCCATCTTTGCACTTGACCTAGAACTGACGTAAATATCAGGATTTGCAAAGTTGGAACTAAATCGGATTATCGATTCTCTCTCTGTGCAGAAAATATATAAATATTTTTTTTTTTTTTTTTTTTTGAAAATTTCGATCATTTGTGTGGAATGTGCCAGAAGGAGTGGACCGATATATTCCATCTTAACACCAGACCTTGGGTTAATATAAATTTTTGGGATGTGTGAAATTTGAAGACAATCGGACTTTTAAATCGCATTTTATAAGAGTTATAATTATTCAAAATTTTGACCATTTGTGGGGGAGGTACTTGATGGAGTGGACCGATATTGTCCATTTTCACACTTGAACTAGCACTGACGCAAATATGAAGATTTGCAAAGTTGGATCAAAATCGGATTATCTTTTCTCTTTCTGTGCAAAAAATATTTTTTTTGAAAATTTCGACTTTTTGTGGTGGAAGTACTTGGTCCAAAGAGAACTATGGTCTAAAACCGTTATTTCGATTAGGCACGTTTTGATGTATCAAATGATATATACCCTCCGTAACCATATGGCTGAGGGTATAAAAACTAAGAGATCTACTATGAAAACAACTTCTGCTGCTTTTAGCAGATTATTCTAATGGAAGAGAAAAAGTAAAGATTGTCTTCTGGTGTTATTCTACAGCAAAAGAAGACACGAGTTTTTTACTTCTATAGACAAACACTAGATGAAGGCCAGGTGATCTTCTAAAAAGAAGAAATGACACATTTTTGTGGTAGAAACCTGGGTGATCTTCTACGGGAAAAATCCGAGCTCTAAAGCTCGATAGTGGAACAGTTGTTCCTCTACAGAAAATAACCACGTACTACGGCACAGAAAAAACTCAGATGGTCTTCTGCGGAAGAACGATAGTTGCATATTAAAAAACGAGGGGAAAATGGTATTTTAAGAAAGAAAATGTCATGGTCTTCCTTGGAAAAAGGCTTTAGTATAAAATACGTTGGAACTTCTCTACAGTGGGAACTCGAAGAATGACAAATGCAGTTTTTAAGGTTAAGAAGAATTTTAAAATCTACAAAAGGAAACTAGACGTCATCTTTCTGTGAAAAAACGACACACAGATTTTCACGAAAAAAGAAATTATCACAGTTCTCTTAAAAAAAATTGGTCCTCTACAAAAGAAACTCAGATGTTCTTTTAAGGACGAACGGCAGTTGAGTTTTTAAGGACGAGGGAAAAATTTTACTTTACGACCTCTCCAAAATTTCATGGAAAATGCAGGTGTTTATCTTCAACTACAAATAACCAAGTAGTCCTCTGCAGAAGGATCCCAAATGGTTTTCTAAGGAAAAATGACAAATGAATTTTCAAAGACGAGGAGAGAGTATGATCCAATGGATTTTCATGGAGAAACCCCAGATTGCAGAAAATGTCATAATCTTCTTCAACAAAAAACTGGTCCTCTACAAAAAAAAAAAAAAAAAAAAAAAAAAAAAAACTTAGATATTCTTCTTAGAACGAACTACAGATTTTTTCTAAGGACGAGGGCAAAGTTTTACTTAACGAAAGAAAATAGTCATCTAAAGAATGATTCCAGAGAGAAAAAAATTAAAACCAAGGTGGTCCCCTACAAAAGAAACTCAATGAAAAACCAGTAAAGAAAGTCTTAAAGTCGGGCGGGGCCAACTTTATGATACCCTACACCACTTTGCTAATTTAGTAGAGCTGCGCATAACAATTAAAAGTTTTTATGGGAGAATTCATGCATACACGCTATGAAAATTATAATTATTTAAAGTTCAAAGGACTAAATATGCTAAGGCATTTGTATCTTTTAACTTCGGACTTGTATTGCCCATTTGGTGCACAATTAATTTGAAATCGGATAAAAATATACATGGGAGCTATATCCAAATCGGAACCGATCTCGATAAAATTTGGCAAAGATATTTCTGAGCTGTATTTGATATATTTCCCTGAATATCGTTGTTACGGAGTGCATATTACGGCTGTGGGTAACAAATATGACAAATCGGATGAACAATATATATGGGAGCTATAGCTACATCTGAACCGATCTTCACTAAATTTGACATACTAGCTTCTATACTCAATTCGGTCGTAACTGCCAAATTTCTTTCAATTGGGGCAAATATAAGACGTTTGGTGCACAATCCAAGATAAATCGGACGAAGTTATATATGGGAGCTATATCCAAATCTGAACCGATCTCAATAAAATTTAGCAAATTTATTTCTGAGCTGAATTTGCTATATTTCCCCAAATATTGTTGTTACAGAGTGCATATTACGGCTGCGGAGGACAAAAGTAACAAATCGGATGAATAATATATATGGGAGGTATAGCTAAATCTGAACCGATTTCGATCAAATTTGGCAAACTTATTTTCAGGCGTAATTTGGTTGTATGTGCAAAATTCCATACTATTCGGGCTGATATTACACGATTGGTGCACAATAAAACGCAGATCGGACGAAGATATATATGGGAGCTATATCTAAATTTTGACCGATTATCTCCAATTTCAATAGGCTTCGTCCTTGGGCCAAACAAATGATCTGTGCAAAATTTCATATGGATAGGGAAATAAATGCGAACTGTACTTTGTTTACAAAAATACATGGACAGACGGAAAAATGTTCATGGAAGAATACGGAATTATGTTCTGTGGAAGATGGTGAATACACGAAAACCAAATAGTCTTATATGGTGGTAGTTTCCGTGAGATGAATGAGGAAAAAACGAAAAGAGACCAGATATTTTTTTTTGAAAAATCCCCAACTGTTTTTATAGAGGTAGATCAAATAGCATTCTACAGAAGTAGTCTGAATGGAGAAAATCATAATGGTCATCTATGGTAGAAGTAGAACTTATTTCTTTGATAGAAGATCAGGTGATGAAAGGGGTCGAGGTGGCCTGCAATCTTCTACAGAAGAAGACTTGATTGATTGTCTCCTAAGAAGAGCAGGTAAATTTTCATGATGATTTTCTACCTTAGAAAGAAGAAGAAGAAGAAGAAGGTCATATGATCTTCCACAGGAGAAATCAGCTGTACAGAAAGCTAATGATTCTCTTAGGCAAAAGACTATATACTTTGAAAAAATGAAACATGGTCAAGCACTTTTACAATTTAGGTAATATGGATCCAAATTCCGCTAGAGGTCTCAGATGATGTTAAGACTCTACTTCAAGATGTTTTATATTTTGGGGTTTAACCCTCTTTGTTAACTGATTTGGACGAGTTTGTCATTAAGGGTTCCCAGTATTGAAAAACCCAGACCGGACTACATACTTTTTATCTGAAAAATTTAATGTATACGTCAAGAAGTGGGTAAAATTCTTGAGATGGCACCCCACACCACTAAAAATCATATACCATATATAACAAAATAAGTATACGCTGCAGGCCAAGCCCTCAACTACCAAAACTTTGGGTGAAACTAAGGTATAGTGGCTTGACGAACAATACAGAACCATTAATTTTGGTACCCCCACTAAGAAATTCCAAATTTTGAAATATGTCCATGGGTGTGCACGATTTTCTCAAAATGTTGGGAAGTCGTTATGTTTCAGATAATTTTATTTTTGTATTTCAATTAAATCAAATTATTAACAATCAAATTCTTCTACTGCGAGATCTTTTCCATTTCATTTTTTCTTCTCATCCTTTTTTTCCCCCTCCTTCCCCTCACTCTTCTTACCCTTATCCTCCTCCTGCTCCGGCTTTCCGGCATATTTCTCCACCGTCTCTTGTAAGTGTTCGGCATTACTACTCGAAAACTGCTGCAATAGCTTCTTATTTTGCATTATCAAAAATGTGGGCATAGCCGTGACATTATGTTCAATGGCCAAATCTTCGAATTCATCGACATCGATTTTAACAATCAACAACTTATCGCGATACAAATTGGCCATATCCACCAATTTTGTGGTCAATATACGGCATGGGCCACACCAAGGGGCGAAAAATTCAAACATTATCAAACGTTCGCCGGCCTCTTTGATGATATTTTCAAAATCATCTTTGCTATCGATCGTGAGGAGGTTTTTATCTTTGGGCAGGGAGAAGGGTTTTGCTGGCGCAGCTTCCTTGGGGTCATTGGGTTTGTTCGGTGGTGTTACCAGAGGTTTGGAGGAGGTTTTGTTGTTTCTTCCATTCGTGGCGGCTTTTGAAGAGGACATTTTGTTGGAATTTAGCTGATAATAGATTTTTTTTATTTGGTTAAAATTCGGAAATTTTAAAAATCAATTTTTTGTAAATGAATTTATATTGAATTTGAATGACACATTCGAAACAATAAACAAAGGAGTGAGTTTACGAAATAGTACCCTATGAATAACTTACAATGTTGTTATAAGCCAGCACCACTTTTTCTTGAAGTGAATGTATATTTTAAGAAAATCCTCCAAGATGTAGGACCGAAATCTACCAAGAAATTATATATAACAATTCATTAAAATCTTAGAATAACCACATTAAATTCAGAATATTTAATTTACAAAAAAAAAAAAAAAAAAAACAAAAACTCAAAAGATTATTGCCGCTTATATCTTATTAAATATGCCATGGTCGGAGCTGTTGTTGAAATGCCATATTTTTGATATTCTCACTAGGATGAAGGGTAAATGGGATTCTACTGTGAGCATCGAAAATGTTTCTATAGCGAATATATTTCTCTCGCAATGCCATCAAATGAAAATTGTTATGGAAAAGAGGCAAAGAAAAACGCAATGTTTTCGAATTTCGAGGAGAACAATTATAGCTCTCTATTGGCTTCCGTTGGTTAAAACGATCGCTTTCCAAGAGCAACAGTTCTCGGTGATTCTTAGTTAACAACTGATTTTATGGAAGGAGAAGACAATGCAAATAGGCAGATAGAGAAAGAGAGAGAGAGAAAGAGAGGGAGCATAAAACGTACTGAGTTAAGGTTCAATTAGACCTGTGCCATAGCCTTAATAATATAAAATAGCTTTTCAAACCAATCTTATCTGGTATTATCTAAAAGATTATGACATACCATAACGCCATAGCCATAACCATTACAGTTGAATTTTAATTTTCTGTCGTAACCATAAAAACGAACTGATTGTTATTTAATTGTTATTATCCCCTCAGCCATATGGCTATGGAAGGTAAATATCATTTGATGAGGCCAATACGTTCCTCATCGAAATAACGGCTTTAGACCCTAGGACCAAATTCATACCAGGATATTTGGAGTCGATTTAGGGAAGTCCGTCCGTCTCTCTGTCTGGCTGACTTGTGCTACGGGAGTGTCTGATTTGGTCCAAGCTTGCTACATCATAACATTATTAAATTAGATCGAGTTCGATCGAGATGTACCAAGCTTGATACATCATAATATTATTATCACACTTAGATCGAGTTCGGAGATTAGGAATATTTGTCCAGTGCTTCTGATACATCCTTCACAAAAGGTCGAAATTTTCAAAAAAATATTTTAGTGCACAGAAGGGGATAATCCGACTTTGCTCCAACTATACGAAAATGGACAATATCGGTCTACTCCATCAAGTACCTCCCCCACATAGGGTCAAATTTTGAATAATTACAACTCTTATAAAATGTGATGTAAGGGTCCGATTGTCTTCAAATTTCACACATCCCAATATTTATTTTAACCCAAGATCTAGTGTGAAGATCGATTAAATCAGTCATCTACTTCTGGTACCTCTCTCACCAAAGGTCAACATTTTTTTCAGAAATTATTTTTTAACATTGAAGAAAAAAGGATCATCCACTTTTGTTCAAATTTTTAAATCCTAATTTTTTTGTAAGTGGTAGGTCAGGTGCGATAATGGACAATATCGACCCACTCCAACCCAAAATTAAAAAAAAGTAAAAATCCTATAAAATCTGAAATAAGGGTCCGATTCTTTTCAAATTTCACATAACCTAACACAAGATTTGGTGTGAAGATGTGATATATCGGTTCACTCCTTCTGGTACCTCCCCCAGAAAGGGGTCAACTTTTTGTATGACTATAAAGTTCATTAAACGCGGAATGAGCAGCCGATTATTTTCAAACTTGACACATCCCAAAATTTTTTCCAACACATATTCAGGTGAGAAGATGGAATATATCAGAGCACACCTTCTGGAACCTCCCCCAGAAAGGCATCGAATTTTTGAATAATCATATCTCTCACAAAATGCAAAATAAGCATCAGATTCTGAGATATGTCAGGATATATCACTCCTTCTATGAAGCTCATGCAACGTGAAATGAGCAGCCGATTATTTTCTAACTTGGGACATCCCAAAATTTTTTCCAACACATAGTCAGGTGTGAAGATGGAATATATCAGAGCACACGTTCTGGAACCTCCCCCACAAAGGCATCGAATTTTTGAATAATCATATCTCTCGCAAAATGGGAAATAAGCATCCGATTCTCTTCAAATTTCTTACATCCCAACATTTCTACTAACACAAAATATGTTGCGAAGATGGGATTTATCGGTTCACACCTTCTGCTATCTCTCCCAAAAGGGGTCAAATTTTTGCATGAGTATGAAGCTCATGCATCGCGAAATGAGCAGCCGATATTTTCAAAATTGGCACATCCCAATAATTTTTTCAACACATAAACAGGTGTGAAAATGGAATATGTCGGAACACCTTTTTTGGTACCTCCCCAACAAAGGGTCACAATTTTGAATACTTATATCTCTAATAAAATGCAAAATACGCATCACATATGTTCAATTTTCACATTTGCCAATATTTCTGTCAACACAAAAACCGGTGTGAAGATCGATTATGTCGGTCCACTTCTTCTGGTATCTCCCCCACAAAGGTCCAAATTTTGAATATTCACGAAGCTCATAAAACCCGACTCCATTCAAATTCGATACATCTCAATATTTCCATCGGCACAGTATCAGTTATAAAGATGGGAGAGATTGGACCATTTCTTCTGGTACCACCCCCGCAAAGGGTCAACATTTAGAGTAACCACTACGATTATAACATCAGTTCTTTCCTACTCCCTCTGTTACCTCCCCCACAAAGGGTAACAATTTTAAATAACCATGAAGCTCATAAATTGCAAAATTAACCTTGGATTCCTTTCAGACTTAGTACATCTCAATATTTCCATCTACACAAAATCTGTTATAAATAGGTAGAGATCGGACCATTTCTTCTGGTGCCTCCCCAAAATAGTCTTCAAGATTGAAAAAAAAAAACAAAACGCTCAAAGAAACCGAAATAAGCACCCAGCTCTCTTCAAATTTCACACAAAAAAACACAAGATCTGTTGTGAAGATTAAATATATCTGCGAACAACCCCTTCTGGTATCTCACCAACAAAGGGTCATAATTTTTAAAACATTTATTTGCCATACCTTGCGAAGCAAATTAGCGATTCTTTAGAATTTGCTATATCTAAATATCTCTCTTTACGATTTCGCATAAAATATGATATAAGTGTTCGATTTTATTGTAATTTTTGCCCATGCCAATCTTTTTATCTGTATTATCTGAAGTATGAACACATCAAACCCCTGGTGAAATCTTTATTACATTAACATGATATTCTATTCCCTCGACCACTAGGCATTCATTTTCCTCACCAAATGTTATCAATAACCCCAAAATAAACTTACATTTCTAATTTGTATTTATGGCAAATGTAATTTATGCCAATTTCCCTCGATCCATTTATCATCGACCGTATTACAAACAGTGCACATAAATATTTACAAATTTCCTTCATTTCCTCCCCCCATTTGTAATGGACTATCCACAATAATCTATTGCTCACCCGACATTTTAATAAATTTTAAATTAGCTAAGTACCACAAAACTATGTCTATTCCAATGAAAACTCTCACACAGACACACACAAAGCAACTCACAACAATGGCAATAACATCATCAACATAAACGTTTAACAAATTGCACTCATTTCTCTTCTGAAGGGCTCTCTGTGGATCTGAACTCCTGCCATTCATAGAACTTGTGTTAAATATGATTGTGAGACGGTTCTTCGTGTAGCTCTTCTTGGTCGTTGTCTTAGAGATTTCTATGCACTTGAAATTTATTGCCTTTTAACATTTTGAGCATTATGTTAATCGTTTGTCTGTGTAAACACACTCACTCATACACATACACATGTGATTATGGTAACAACAAATAAACAAACAAATATATGCAGAGTAAATGAAGTAGAGAGACATAGAAGCACACACACATCTTCATGATTTCCTTTGAGTGCAGATGATGGTAGTAGCATCAACATCAAATATTAGGTTGAATGGGAGACAATTAGTTCGGAAGGTTTTCGTCATGAAAGACTTTTTTAAAGGTTGTCTTCATGGTCTTCTTCAAAGAAGACCATTTGAAAGGTCGTCTTTAGGGAAGATCATTTGAAGATGTTCTTTACAAGAGTCCATCTGAAAATATGATTTACAAAATTTCTTTTTTCGTTCGCTATTTACAAAAGATATTTTGAAGAGTCCTCCTTCAGCAGGCCTCTCCATGGAAGACCTTGGGCCCATTTAAGAAGGCATTCTTCATTGAGGTTCCTCTCCAAAGAAGATTTTTTTTAAATTCTTCTCCATGAAGGCTGCATTGAAAAAGGTTTTTCATTCCTCTTTGGCTGTCTTCTCAATAAACTCCTTAAGTGTCCTTTTCGAATATCCCCACCATAGATATCCTTTCCAAGATTTTTACCACATATTCTTCAAAGCCGTCCTTTGAAATGGATTTTTCTGGGGAAAATCATTTGAAAAATCTTCTCCATGAAAGAAACTTTAAAAGGTCTTCCGTTGAGTTGTGCCAAACTAGTTCAGAACTCAGTACATTAGTTCCCAAAGTGTATGAGTGTTTCATGTCATATATTTTATATCACTCATACGCAGAGTTATCATACAAACGACCGGAATCAATAGAACTCTATAAGAAACAAGTTCGTCAAGTCTACTCCATACAAGACCCTTGCAAATGTTGTCATTATAGAATTCATTTTAAAACGTAGTCTCTATAGAAGACTTTTTAAATTTTTCCTTTTGAAAAGTGGTGTTTATACAAAGAATGTGTTCTTTTTACCAGACCTTCTATATAAAAGAATTTTGAAAGGCATTTCCTAGAGAACTAGTTTCAAAAGTCAGTTCTTTATAAGACCTTTTTCAAGACGTTCTCTATAGGAAACCTTCAAAACGTCTACTCTATAGAACAATTTTAAAGGTTCTTTTTGGAAAACTTCTGTATAGAAATTCGTTTAAAAGGTCTGCTCTTCCATAGAAACCGCTTAGAA